CCTTCAGGTCACCCATTGAAGCTATGTGTCACCCAGGTGGGCAAGTATGCGTTGGGGGATGGCACCCAGTCTTGCTATATACGTTGTAGTTCACTGGAACGTACTCCGGTTTGCCCTCGTACGCACACTACGTACGAGGGTTGACAAGCGCCACACAAGTTTGCGAGCACAACTCCTGCGCCGCTCCAAGATAACGGACACATGTGAAACGGCCACCTGTGACATTCAGATAGGCCACCTCGCGAATCGAAGCCACGTACGCGTCACCCGTATCCGACCAACCAACGGCGGGTGTTCGGTCGGTCACACCACCACACATTGAAGCGCGTCAACTTCGACCGCACAAGCGTCAACCGTACCAAGACCCGTTATAGGCCGGGTTTACTGACCGCTACCACTATAATCTCACTGTTTAAACACCAACATATACGTTTCGGGTTTAGGGTTGCCACCGCGTACCCATGCACAAAATGCCAATGTACACCCACGGACACCATATCACATTTATTCATCACAATATGTGGCGACACATCAGCGTCAACACTAACCTGAACCACCCAAAGTATAAACATCCCACCACAGTTGACTACACTCCCTGCAATCCTGTACCCATCATTCCTAAGTTCCACCATACCAACACGTGCCGTCACTCACATAGCAAAAACCTGTTAACTAATTGCACCTTGTTGTTGCTGTACGACGGGCACACGTGCACAACTCTCTGCAGGCTGCCCAGCTCCACCACCGAATACCTCACCTTCTCCACTTTCTTGTGCAGCTGCGTGCACCCTGTAAGCTTGCAGCTTCCCGCCCTCTCGTAGTACCTCACGTATGCGTATCCCTTCCACTCCCCATCACGGTCAAGCGCCCTGAAGATGCACAGACATCTTGCATACCAGTCCCCCTTCTTGTTGTTCAGAAGTGCCACGTTCGAGTACCACCTCTCTCGTGGAGATGCCTTCACAAACGTCCCTTTGGCCACCAGCTCGCCGCCTCTTGTGCGCGGAATGGCCACCGCGGTGTGGACCTGTCACGCGGTTGTGTACAATCCAACATCTCTTAGCATCATCAGTGCAGTGGCAACCAACGTGCAAGCCCGCTAAGACGAGATGTATGTGCGACAGCATTATCACCACACCTGCACGTTGTTGGTAGCCAGGTCCAACGCCTTAAACTCCGCGGCCATCCCCTTCATCTCGTCTCCAAGCGCGGCTGTGTACTCATCGTACACCGGATCCGACGCCCCGCCTATGCGCATGATCCGATACTTCTTTGTAAGCACCGGTTTCCTCGTCTTGATTGCCTGCACGTGTACAACCACGTTCCCACAACAAGCCGCAACCTGCCTCAGGCTCCGCTCGTACATGGGCACCCGTGCAACATTACACATTGAATGGCCATCGTAGCACCAACCACTCCCCTACGCACCTCGCGCAATGCAGACGCATACTGCCGCCCACCGCCGGCGTCTGCAGCCACCTCACGGTACACCTCTCTCTGCACCTCCTCCTCCACGATTCGGCGCGGAATGTCGCTCCAGTTGCTCCCTCTAACTGGACCCTTGACCGTGCCCTTGTGCGTGCGCTCCCACATCTCAGTGGAATAATGGTGCGGCATCCCGCGCTCCACCACGTTGTCCAGTAAATGTCTTATCATGTGTATCTTTGGTAGTCTCCAGTGGGATGCCTGCTTTGGAAATGCTCTCGGGAGCAACGCCACCAACCTGCCACATCGTCCACGATGGCAGGCAACAGTCAATGCACACTCGTGTGCCACCCGACGGCCGCCACAACAAACCCACCGCATCGCTCGATGCACCTAATGCACACACTTACGCTATCGCATGCTGCCGTGCAATCGCAATGGTGGTATGTGTGTGCCGGTCCACACCCAGAAACGCCTTGTAAAACACAGCAAACAGCCTGAACGCTTTGACCTGCAACGCGCGCAGCTCTCCCGGTTCATCACCCTTCAACGCGCTCTCGTCAGCCACCAAGATCGGCATTATCTGCATCATGCTCCTGTGCTCGAACGCAGCGTAGTTTGCGCCGGAACTGAAGAACGATGAGCCCCCTGGGATTCGGAGGAGCACGCTAGGCGTGATGGCCTTAAACTCCTTCTTGCGTCTGCGCACACCAAGTATTCGACGTGCCCATCAGCGCTGCACACATGGTGTACTACAACCCAAATGACCCCACCAGGATATGACATGCAGGCTACAGTCTGCTCACCGTTCAAGCGTCCGCATCTCAACCTTCCCAAGCGGTTCGATGTAGGTGTCCATCATGTGGATCAGCACACCGGAGTCCAGAACATGCAGTGTGTCTGCAAGGCATGCCAGATACACGTTGCCCCACTCTGTGTCCGCGAAATTCCACCTGTGAAGTACGCACTGCAATGTCCAACCAAAGACACGACCGCGTCATTAGGTTCCACCGTACACTACAGGCACGCAAACGCCCTCAGGGTTTAGCCCACCTCGATCGGATGTGTTGACCATAGCCTCCGCACGGCGTCAGCGTCGCCCTTCTTCTTACACGCCAGGATCTGGCGGACAATGTCCCTCTGCATCTCGGGGGTACGCGGATCGGCCTTCCCCACCATCATGGTCAACTCCCCCTTGTCTGCATAGCAGTTAGCGCACGGCCGGTGCGTCCCCTGCTGAAGAGTCGCAGAAGCTCTGCTGGTCTCCGGAAAGTCGGCAGGGTATCCGTACAGGCAAGGGACCGCTTTGTGCACCTTCCCGTCCGCGTCCGTGCAGTAGAAGAAGCGAACTGGCCCGCTGCACATTGTGACGATGCACACGTGGCCGTGAGTTAGGTTAGGAACGTACACACAATACGCGGTCATAACACGGGGCAATATCTGCTGGGGTCCCCACTGGCCTGCTGCTCGTGTAGCATATGCACCTCAGTACCTTGCAGATTCTCGCATGATGGGCGCGAGGATGATCTTCAATGCCTCCTGGAAAACCCGCGTCTTCTCCGTGGGCGATGCCCATTCGGGTGGGAATGGCAGCACCGCCGCCAACGTGTGCCCAGGCTCCACCCCACGTAATTCCGCTGGTATGTTGATAAGCGAGATCAGCACCGGCCACGCGTTCCTCCGACCATTCCGTGATGCCTGGGTGCTATCACTGTATATCAGCACGCCTAGTATGAGTGCCTCACTGTCATTAATCTCCTTCTGCCATGCCAACCATACATGCCCTTGCACAAATGTTAGACTCCGTCTTATAGCATTCTGGGACTCACATGTAATGTGGACTGGCCTACCGATGCACTTACCTGAGCAGCGTGCATCCAATCGCCCGTCTCCGGCCCCTCGAATACCCTCTCGCCATTCTTCTTCCGATGAATCTTCTTAGGTTTCCACACGAACCCTTTCTTGGATGAGAACGTCCGCACCAGCTTCTTCAGAATCTGCGCGCATCGGGATATAATCAGGAGTGAGCGGCAAGATTCCTTCCCAGTGACGACGACGGGGGATGCGGGTGTGGCCGCCGTTTACGAACCAGCTCTGTGTCGCGGTAGTGCAGTAGCAGCTTCATTTGCATTCCTTTGGGGCCCCGCACCACTATCTCCTCCGTTTTCCACGGGACCATGTCTGGTGGAGCGCGCGCCATTCCCCATCGGCGCACATCCACCCAGTTGCGCCATCGTCGGAGGGCCCGTAAGTTGAAGCGCGGGTTGCGGAAAATGTGTAACAGACGGTTAACTTCCCGGTGCGAAAGATCGGCGTCACGGAAGAATAGATACAACTCGGTCAGTGTGTCGAAAATCTCCGCCCTCTCGCTGTGTTCCGATGACTCCGCATTCTCGCCGTCAGCTGGTGTATCCGCGACGCTAACGAGGCTAACTTCGGGAATAGAGGCGGTCGGAGCAACCGATACAACACTGCCGTCATTATCCTTAAGCCGCGATGCGGGCGGTGTGTTTGGTCTACTCTCTCCGTCACGGGCAATTGCTTCCAAATATGCCGCCAACAAAAGACTCTCCCGTTTCCTCTTCAACTCTGCGCGACAAATTGCACCGTTAGCGACATGTGACTGTAACCGGCTGTCGTCCTTAAACACCGTCTCGCACACCATGCAACTGTTCCCCGTCATCCTGCAACCTTGAAACCCTAGAGACCGTGGCGATAGAAACTCGGACTGGCCACAGGTGTGCTCTAACACAACTCAGAGGATCAACATGGTGCACACTCATGTGCACAGAACCTTGAAAAGTGTGCACATACCATCTGTTCGATTGTCACCGGTAAACATTATACACCCAACCATAATGCACAACCATATTATAATTGCAGAATGTGTAACGGTGGTCCGGTAAATAACACTCCCCGGAATTATCAGCGCGGTCATTAGTACGACCAGAAATAGAAATAGCCAATAACTGACGTTGTGGGATTGTACACAGTTGGCTCCATAAGACGTTGTGTCTTATTTCTTATGTAAGTAATATACCCGTTATGCATATTGCAATATTGTTTACGACAACCTACAAATTTTACTTCCGCTTTTAAGAGTACACGACTACATCGTGTACAACCCATACTTAGTGCGCGCTGGTGGCCCAACAACCCAAGTGCTGACGTCCGCGTACGCCGTTATCGGATTCCGCGTCACTTGGATTGTACCGGAAAACCAAATGGTGTTCCATGCACCAGAATTGCTGACCCACCCTAAATCTCGCATCCTCGTGTTCCGAACCCCTTGGTTTACAACACGTGGATATGCATGCTGCCTCACCATCACATCCAGTCTCGTTATCGAGTCACAGGTGGACATCGCATGCGCATCTCATCCAACGGTGTATACCATTTCGCCTATGCATGCCCAACACCCACCAGGTTATAGGCGACATCTTGGCCCACCCGTCAATCAGAGTACTTCCCTCCAGGCGAGATCCGTGAGTGGCTGTGTTCTCCCAGTCATCCCCTCCGTGCTCACCTCGTATTAAGGCCGGCCTCCTCCGCATGGTATTCAGTGTCCGTTCTTGATGGCGATTCCTAAACAGTCTGTCTCTAAGCGCAACCGGTTCCATGAACCGGAGACTAGCAGCAGCGGCGATGACCAAGATCCTGACCCGTCTGTTCCCAGAACCAGAGCGTCGACCAAGGGCGACAAAAAATCACCTCCGTGTCCGCCGACAAAGGACGGCGGAAGGGCTTCTAGGTTCGCGACCCATGTCGTGGAAAAGGCGACAGAGCCGGTGCCGGACGATGTCGTGGCCGCTATCGCCCGGAACTATGCGAAATCATCTTACCGCAACATCAAGCTCATGAATCACCGCGGTGTCGGATGTGAGGTGGACAAGGACGACTTCATGTCGATCGAGGACGAACAGTGGATCACCGATGGCGTGGTGGACTTTCACAACGTGTAAGTACCGTGCTGACCGCCCCGCACATGCGCGCGCTTTTGTACGATTTTCTGCGAATTCACTGTAGCACGGTGTGTTAACTTGTTCGTGTTCACCTCTGCGCAGGCTGCTTAGCATCAGGAAGCCGTCGCTCCGCGACGGCAAGACATGGGCCGCCATGGACTGCAAGGCCTATTCACAGACGACAGCTGCGCATGGAGTGCCGTTAACGCTGGGGAGTGGGCGGCCGCTTTTGGAACACGATTATCTTGCGATCCCGGTCCTAGAGTCGTGAGTGTACTCATCTTACCAGTGTTCCCGGTTGGTTTCCGTGATGTGCAACCGACTGCTGTTTAACACCGATCCCGTTTCACCCCAATCTTCTTGCGCGCAGTGAGCACTATTCCCTCGTCATCGCTATAAACCCATCGGTGCTCACCAAGACGCAGAGAACCAAGGGCAAGGAGCGCCTGACTTTGGTCTTGCTGGACAGCGCGATCAAGAATCGAAATAGCCACAAGATTTTCGCAGGCACGAAGCTGTGAGTAGGGGTTTCGGCATAACGAAGCGCATAGCATATACGTCCATGCTCAATTTTGTTAATACCGGACGAACTCTTGTATGCAGGTTGCTGTCCGAACTCGCAAAGGCGAGTAACCCAAACGCTAACATGGAGGTTGTGGACAGGACGCTGAGCGCGGCGGACTGCGTAATTCTACGGGTGAGTACGCCTCGTTCGTTCTGTACACAGCTGTGCTGGTTGCATACACAGGTGTGCATACTGATAACTTCGGTATTCGTTACCCTTATGACAGGAGGATAAGCTGCCACAGCAGCCGAACAAGGAGGACTGTGGGATTTTTGTTTGTCAGTACCTCAAGACCCTGGTGCATACCGACTTCGCCACGGTGTTTTCGGGCCTCTGGTTCCAGGGTGTGACACCGCACCAATACAGGCGGGAGATGCGCCGAGACTTGTGTGCACACGCTGGCGGAGAGCTTCTGAAACAACTACAGGAACTGGGGATTGAAGTCCCGCCGCAAGACGAAGGCCTGGTTACCGCAGAGGGGACAGTGGTGCAGGTGAGAAACACTGCGGAGGGAGATGGGAGGCAGGCGCCAAACACTCGCCATGATGAGGACGCTCGGTTTACGGAGATGACGAGGCGCATAGCATCGCTGCATAACGATGTGAGGTACCTGGACGCCAGCTTCACCGTGATCGCCAACTTCGTGGGCCTGAGCCGGGACGAGGTGGTGTCCGCTGCAACCCAACTGCTGCTGCATGGAGGGGTCGCGGGGAACGGCACGAAAACAGAGGCGGGTGGCAACAAGCATGCGCCACGCACACCCCAGCGTCCGTCTGCCCGGAAGAGGCGAGATGACAGCAGTCCTGAGGAGGACGGCGTGCGCAACCTCACCCAGGTGGCGCTGGCCTCCACGTTCGCCGCATGTGCGCCGACACCGAGCCTGCTGCAGAACCCGCTGATCTCGAACGGGGCCATACCTCCCTGGATGTTGACGCGCCCGCGGCTGCTGTCCGGCACGGGTGTGCCAGCTGGACCTGACGTGTGGGGAGACAGGCTTGGGCAGGAGACGGCGAAGGCCGACGAAGAGGAGGATCTCGTGTCAGACTCAGATGACGAGGACGGTGGCGAAGATACAAGTGCAACCAGGTACACGGGTGTGAAGCTGGATCCGAACACCGGCAAGTACTGCGTCAAGATTTTGTTTAAAGAACGTGGGAAGCGCAAGCAGCAGAGACTGGGAGGGTACACCACTGAGGAGGAGGCGGCATTTGCATACGCCGCCGGTGCGTTCGTGCTGAGGCCTAGCGAGAGGATACCCAACACCGTCAGCCTGTCGGCCGCAGAGAAGGCAACGCTGCGGGGGTGCACCAAAGAAGATTTACAGACCCTGGTGGAAGCGAGGAAGTGGTGGAGGTGGAGGAGTTGGCGTGAGGCGCTGGAGAGCGTGGGCCAGCGGTTGAAACGAGTGAGGAAGCGTGGGGGTGCAACAGGTGCATCAAAGAGGCGCAGGGTTGTGGACCACGACCACACAGCTACCAACGACCCAGCGGCAACCGACAATGCTGAGAGTGGGGGGACGGCCCCAGTGACAAACGAGCAAGGCGGAGGTGCAAGGGACAATGACCAGGAAGAGCGGAGGGAAGACACTGGAGCTGAGGAGAAGACATCAGAGATGGCTGCATAATTGGTGTGGAGTCAATGTGTGGTTGAAACATGTCCGTGCACGTAGTTGCTCACCCTTGTGTAGCTTTCGGATAATGTTGCATTTGGAATGAAGAGTCTTGTGCGTGCAAAGTATGAACGACAAACACCGTTAGCTGGTAATGCAATCGTGAACTTGGTGTACTACATGTTTAAGTGAGTAAGGGCCTCAACGAATACCGGAACCAGTTCCGTGACGAGTGTCCACACAATGAAGGTATGTGGACAATGTTGTGACCACATGATGTGCGCAGTGTATGGTTCGGGGGTGGACACCCGTCAATGTGCGAGTGACGTGGTGTTCTGTAATTGGGGGTTTTGGATTGCGGTCATCCAGATGTGTACGAGGCAGTATTGGGTACCAACCTCCTCATGTATTCGGTGCAGCGGAGTGTCATGGAAGCTGAGCATCTCACCGCTACGTAGAAAAGTGGTTATCGCGTCATTATGTGCGCATCTCACTGGATACTTCAGTTGCTTCAATGGATACCTCAATTGCTTCTGAGGATACCCGAGCTGGGGGACGCTCCCGTCGTGTCTCGCTCCCGCCTGCGTACCTGCGAGCGTCATACCAGTTGACGATGCCGCGAGGTCGACTGTCCAACGGGAACCGTGGGGCGCCCTTACCCAAGAGCCTGAGCTTCCGCAAGAAGGGGAAGGAGGTGGTGCAGCCAGAGGAAGGTATGCATTACGATCATGAGTGGATCAGTCACGACGTTCGCGGCGGTTGTTGCGCGCGTATGCTAACTTGCGGTTCTGTGCGCCTGTTGTCATTCTGTCACCCACAGATGACGGCACTGGGGCGGAGAGTGCAGATTCGTCCGAGCGCAGCGAGGATGAGGACGAGGAAGGCGGAGACACGTCGGCATCAGGATCAGGCGAAGAATCAGCCGAGCCCGCTAAGGGGGGGAAGACGGACGACGATGGGCGTGCGGGACCATCCGCGGCCAACGCTGACACTCGCGCTAATCACGACGTGGACGGACTGGTGGGACCCACACGCTGGGACACAGTGGACGCCAACAGCGATGACGTGCGCATACCGAGCCGTATCCTCGAGCAACTCATTCAGGCTCAGGACAAGAGCGCCAAGGAGAACGCGCGGTTGGAGGCGCTGTTCTTGAATGCGATGTCTCGGCCGTCCAGTGGCTCTCATAAGCGTAAGGCGACCAGGCAGAGAGACCCGGGGCAGGGTTGTATGAACCCGAAGCGTAAGCGTGGCGAGACGTGGAGTGGCGGGTCAGACGATGACGGCGAGGACGACGATGACGACACACATGGATCTGGTGGCCGTCATATGCGCACGGCCAGGTCTCCTATTCTGCAGCGCGCCTTGGAGCATTTGCCTGCGGACAAGGCGTGGAAGGTGAGCGGGCCCGTTCCCGTCCGGTTCCATTATTCAACCGTCATGCATACCGGTGTGCGCCACTCATGTTGTTGTGTATACCTTATGTGCGCAGCGGGTGTGCGAGCTGGCCAGGGTGCACATGTTTCTCAACAGGCCGACGTCGATGATGACCTTCTACCCGAGCAGCGACGACAAGACACACGGGGTGTGTGCGGTGCTGGACCGCCTGCCGCATAGCTTCGCCTGTTTGGCGTTGGCGGCTGACAAGTCGCGTCGCGCTGATCTCAACAAGACACTCTCTGAGTGGAAGACGCGGGCTGCCGCCCGCGTGCGCGACATTGCACTTCCCAAGCTCGGCTTGTTCCGCGACGATCGGGACGCATCCAGCCCATGGGCACCGGAGAAGGAACGCAGTATTGAGAAGATCCGGGAGCGCATTGGGTTCGGCGCTGACCCCCCTGGTGAGTGCGGTCTACCCCAGCAACCAGGCTTGCCACCGCATCGTTATGCTGTCACCCTCGTGCGTGACGGCCGTTGACACTGACCTGCATGCACGTGGGAATGCAGAAACACTGGTGCTCACGACATGGGCGACAGACCGGGATGGCATGCCGTTCGCCTCTCGGGCGTTCGCGACATGTGCGAAGGCTGCATTCAGGCCCAAGAAGGCCGGCCTGGTGATGACGCTGAAGGTGTACCACCTGGCCTGGTTGGAGCATGTGGTGAGTCTGTGCGCTCTATGTGTGCCATGCATCTGTGTTGTTTACGTCGGACCATTTGAGTGACACGATGCGTGATGGCGCAGGTCTCCGACTGCGTCCTCTACTGGGAGCAGAGGAAAGGCCGGCTTTCCAACTCGGCCGGCGGAAACGCCCACGTTGTGGACGGCCTCAAGGTCCTGGTTAAGGAGGCCGTGGAGAGGGCGATCAGGATCCGCAACCCGGAGTATGACGCGGAGCGGGAGGCGTGGATCTGGGGGCGCCATGGTCTGCGCATCTCTGCGTGCGGCCTGGAGCACATGAGGCCCGCCGGCGCAGCCCAGCCGGAGGAGCCAGTGGGGGACGACGACCTTTCGGCATCCGTGGGGGATGAGTAGGACGGCTGGCGTGGAGGGGATGGGGGAAGCGTGGGTTTTACCGTTGCGGGGACAGTAGATTGGCTGCGTGTGTACGATGATTTGCGGCTGTGTGACAGGGTTATGTGTAGCTGTGGAACGCGCACCTGGGTTAAGCATGTGTCAGTGTTGAAGATGTGGGGGGGTTAGACATAGGCGTGGAGGCGTTGTATGTTTGTGTGTCCGTTTGTTGTTAATGGGAAAAGCTTCAATTGGGGTATTGCTCGCATATGACAGCACATAACAGAAACTATATGGTGCATGCCACAGCGAACCCGCCGTCGCCCAGATGTGCGGGACGGAGAGGGATGCGCCGCATTCTGCGGCGAATTTTACGGTGTGTGCCATGTGTCACCTGTACGTTGGACGTAAAGGACGCAGCGGTGCGCGTAAGTGGACATCTGGTTGGACCGCAACAAGGCTAAGGGATGACGTGGAGCCAATGGTATGGGAGGGTGGCACGCGCTTGTACACCCGTGTCACAATCGTGGACGAGCGTGAAGATGAGGCCGACGGTGGGATGTGCGCTGTGATATGCTATACGGGTGCGACAAATGCACGGTTGTGAGTGGTTCGCGCATACGTCGCAAACGTGAGCCACGATGGGTAGGGCAACCGGTTACCGTTTGTGCGATAGCATGATCGGGTTGCAAGTGTACGGGTAAGATGGATTAATTGTGCGTGACGTGGAAGGTCGGTGGTGTTTACGATGTATACAGATGGACGACGCAGGTGTCGTCGTCATCTAGTTGCGAGCGCAACCCTAATGGTAGGCGAGACTTTTCGCGAAGTGCACGAAACGGTGGCATTGGTTCAGGTGTACGGTGTTTATGCATTGGCGCGTCTGGTGCGGACGCACGATGCGCAAGTGGAGTGAGGCCGCGTGGATGAGGGGTAGTGGCTACCGTTGGCGTGATATGCGGTTTGCTGCCCTATGGGATGCATCCAAATGTACGGTGTGGGAAGGATGCTTGACCACCAGATGTACGGTGCAGATCGGAGCGCGGTGAGCTTGCAAGGATGTGCGAGTTTGTGTGCGCGAATGCGTAACGTGCTATGCGAGTTTATGTACAGGCGACACGTGTACCGTAGTGATTGCGTGACCAGGGTGTCCATCCAACGGTTGTGGTTGCTGTACGTTTTGCTGCATGTACGCTTACGTGGACGTGGGAGTTGAAACAGTATGCCACGTGGGGAAGCCCGTACGGATTGGCAGTTGGGGTTACGTGCTCGTCGCTTTCGAGTTGGTTGACACGGTATGGGCAGGTGAACATTTGGGTGGAGCAGCCCGTGACTGTTTAGCATGTGCGCAGATGCGGGTGGCGTTGCTAAACGGTTGACTGAGTTTGTGCAGAAAGGCGCGGGAAAGTGACTCGGAAGTTACTACGCCAGTGACTGTCGCCACGCAGTTCTAAAACCTTGACTCAAAAGTGCCGGGGGTGTACTATCGGGTAAGTTGTGCAAGAGTGTATTCAGGGTTACTTTCCGCACTTCCCAATTTCGCGATGCCATCTCGAATTTAGTCCGCCACGGGAAGTCTGTCAGAGGCAACGAGAGGAAAGACTCAGTGTGGAACATCAAGTCCCTTCATATTGATTTGGTGATTGGCGCACCAGAGCTACTACAATGGATCCTGGAGCAACTGCGAATGCTGAGAAATCCCGGTTTTCCAACGTGAATCGCCGGCTTGAGGCTTGGAACCGTGCAACTAGCTCAGCACTCAATCCCGCCGTTCAGCCGTCATTCCGCGCGTCGCCGCGACTCGCCTTCATCACAAAAAAGGCCCGTTTTCAATTGCGGGGAAAGGGGTTGAAGATGGGCTCTGAAGTTGGGTTTGCGTGGGTGCTGCAATTTTTTTCGCCCAACCTCCTGCGAAATGCGTCGCTTCTCAATGTTTGGGTTGTTTTCGCGGCATCCACCCGACTCGCAAAACAGATAGCGCCGCGGCGAAACCAGATTGGCCGAATGTTGGCCAATTTATGGTGTGCTGTCCTGGCTTTGACTTCGTTGAAAGCAGAGTTTCGAGGCTGAGAGAGTCGACCCGCGAAATTTTCCAATTTCGTGGAGCAACTTTTGTCCGCGCGAGCAGCTTGGCGCTTCGGACCCACAGGGGTGGACCCATTTCGGAACAATTCCAGGCCAACTTTGGCCTGCTTTTCTTATGAGTAATTGGTTTGTGGAATATGTATGCAATGATTTGTGTTAACTCTTAAGGAATGCTGGAACGCCCATACGTATAAATAGAACCAGAAAACATATTTATTGAAAGTGCATGCATCATTCAGAGTGTCATTATTATTACTGGAATCACACGTAAAACCTACAACAGGTACTTATTCAAGTAAAACGAGTTCGCACTGTGGAACGACTTCACGACCTGCACCTGCCTTTTTATCGAATCGCAGTCAATGACTGAATACTGGGAGGTGCCAGTCGTCCATGTCAGACGCTTGCATCCGGTTTTCGTGTCTTCGCCTGCCGCAGACCAATACCTAACAAAGGCCAAGTCATGGGTGACCCCTCTATGCTTGGCCTGGAAAATCAAGAGGAGTCTTCCATACCACTCCTCATCACTCCCCTCTCTTGTTTCCCCTTTGATTGCCACATCTGAGAACCAAGGCTTGTCATGGGACTTTGGCGTTGCCTTGAGAAAATGGGCGGTTCGAGCAAAACCAGCGTCTTCGGCTGCAGGGATCGCAAGAGTTGTGTGGGCCTGCATCAATGGAAATGCCGACATATTAGCGGAATACCTTGTTAGTCAATGTTCTCCCCTGTAGCAATATCTCATTCTCACCCTAACTGTGGCTGGCGCCAGCTGCCGACGTGCAAGGGCACTCTTGAACTGAATGTGAGCCTCGACGTGTTGTTGCGCCCACATTTGCGCGAACCAATTTCGTGATCGGAACTCTGTCGGATCGACTTGCAAGGAGTATGAGTCTCTTGTCATGACCCTTCTCCCTTCTTCTATTGCCTGCACATATTACGCACAAGTAAGCGACATCAAGTGCCCATAAATCCTAGCATGCAATCTGAAAGAGTTGCTGTACAGTACCTTCTGCATTGCCATCTGTCGACCATTCTCATTTTCCTCGACAAGTGTGAAATCCAGGCGCAGCTCATGATGCTTCATGATCTGCGAGTCTGCGTTCCGTTTGTTTGAACGTCGATACACCTGTTTGAGCAGCGGCCCATGCAAGTGCTCAAAGGTGTTTGTGCTGTACTCGTGCACATATCCTGCACGACGAATTGCTTGAGCAAAGTGCGTCATGAGATGCGTCTTCACAAGATTCCACGCAGAAGCCTGCTCCGGGAAGGCTTGCTTCAGCAACTCCACAAGCCTGCCACGGATGCATAGGGGTGAAAGAGGAGAGGTAAGACTGGAGGTCAGATTGAGGTTCAACAGGTGAGTTGTCAGACGCAGTAGTCAAGAGAATTGCATGATATGCGGAATGGGGATGGGAGCAGTGGGGAGGGGAGCAATAGGGATGGGACCAACGAGGATGGGACCAATGCGGATGTGAGCAGTTGGGATGAGAGCATTGGAAATGGGAGAAGTGGGTATGTGAGCAGCAGGGATGTGAGTAGTGGGGATGGAGGCAACGGGGATGTGAGCTAGGGAGATGTGATCGGTGGGTTTAGGAGCAGTAGGGATGTGAGCAGTGGGGCTGGAAGTACTGGGAATGGAGCAAGGGGTACAAGAGCAATGGCGACGGGAGCAATGGCGACGGGAGCAATGGGGATGGGAGCAATGGGGATGGGAGCAATGGGGATGGGAGCAATGGGGATGGGAGCAATGGGGATGGGAGCAGTGGGGATGGGAGCAGTGGGGATGGGACCAGCGGGGATGTGAGCAATGAGGATGTGGGCAGTGGGTATGCGAGCAGTGGGGATGGAAGCAACAAGGATGGGAGCAATGGGGATGGGAACAGTGGGTATTGGAGCAATAGGTTTATGGTGCAACTGGGATGTGAGCAGTGGGGATGTTAGCAGGCATTGTGTGACAAAACAGGAGGTTTACAGGGGTGTTATAGCACAATGGAGAGGTAAACGATGGGGATAAGGCACAATGGGGAGGTAAACACGAGGGGACAAGGTACAATGGGGAGGTAAACACGGGGGGATAAGGTACAATGGGGAGGCAAACACGGGGGAATAAGGTACAATGGGGAGGTAAACACGAGGGGATGAGGTACAATGGGGAAGTAAACACGGGGGAATAAGGTACGATGGGGAGGTAAACACGAGGGGATAAGGTACAATGGGGAGGTAAACACGGGGGGATAAGGTACAATGGGGAGGTAAACACGGGGGAATAAGGTACAATGGGGAGGTAAACACGAGGGGATAAGGTACAGTGGGGAGGTAAACACGGGGGAATAAGGTACGATGGGGAGGTTAACACGGAGGGATAAGGTACGATGGGGAGGTAAACAGGGGGGTTGAGTCACAGTGGGAGATAGACAAAGGGAATCTGGCATGTGAGAGAGGTAAACAGGGGGGAGAAGGCACAAAGGGAGGTAAACACGGGGGGATAAGGCATAATGGGAGGTAAACACGGGGGGATAAGGTACAATGGGGAGGTAAACACGGGGGAATAAGGTACAATGGGGAGGTAAACACGAGGGGATAAGGTACAATGGGGAGGTAAACACGGGGGAATAAGGTACGATGGGGAGGTTAACACGGAGGGATAAGGTACGATGGGGAGGTAAACAGGGGGGTTGAGTCACAGTGGGAGATAGACAAAGGGAATCTGGCATGTGAGAGAGGTAAACAGGGGGGATAAGGCACAAAGGGAGGTAAACACGGGGGGATAAGGCATAATGGGAGGTAAACACGGGGGGATAAGGTACATTGCGGAGGTAAACACCGGGGGATAAGGTTTAGGGTGGGGAGGTAAACAGGGGGGTTGAGTCACAGTGGGAGATAGACAAAGTGAATATGGCAAGTGAGAGAGGTAAATAGAGGGGATAAGGCAAAAT